GGTCGGAACATTCTGCGCCCTTTTCACAGTAACTGGCTCTCCTTGTGTGTTAATAATAGTGTTTTGAAGATTAGATATAATTCATGCAATACAAATTTTTCAGTGGCGTTGCTATTTTGTTTTGTCTGTTAGAAGATACACGGCTCATTATAACAAAACTTTGCAATCGTTTTTTTCTGGTTTTTGTTTCCGTACTATTTTGAACTTCGTAGTTTTTTAAACAAAATAATTACTCACCAGCCTCTAATTTCAGTGGTTGGAAGCCAGTTTGAAGTTTTGGTTAGCAATCTAAAATTTTTTTGACTGATCCGGTTTTTTTTATTTTGCTGCGATAAATTATCAAACTCACTAATTTTGTACTTTTTTTCTCAATTTGTTCCTTGGGTTTTTTATTTTTGCTGTTTTTTGCTATGTCCGGAGATAAAATAATTGGCGCTTAGAGAAAACTGTCACAGTGACTAAATATTCCGTATTTTGACTCGTGTATTACTTTTTTATACGACTTTTTTTGTGGTTGATAAACCCAAAAAATTTTAAAGGCGCATTGCATTGGTTTCGGAAGGAGCGCATGGGCAAAAAAACGTCAAAGCCTTCCAACCTTCCAAAATTGTCCTACTACGTTAATTTTGACCTGTTATAAAAAAAATACTTTTTGCAAAGTAGCTTCTGGCAAATTATGGTTTGTTTATGGTTTTAGTTGAGGTCGGAAAATCAATGTGATCGATGTACTAAAAAAGTAGACAAAATTACTTTTCAAAAATTTGAAAAGTGCTTCCTGCCCATTGATATAAATTCCTGTGCGCCACGCCATCTGGTGAGGATCTAAGGTGTGTTCTAGATCGAAAATTTCGGCCAATCGGAATCGAGAGTTTTACACACAGCTTTTAACCCAATTGTATTGATTCCAGATAAACCAGTAATGAAAATTTGGAAGAGGTGTAAGTTAACCTGGCCCCACAGTTAATATGCTGCAGAAAGATAGAACAAGTTTTCAATGTAGATAAAAACTATTTCTCATTGAAAGCGTCATTATCATTGAAAAAATGCAATTACTCAAAAAAAAGCTACTTTATCTGAGCTCAAAATACTCTATAAGTCAAAATCTGGAGCCTTTTTTGTCTAAATTTTTAGTTACTTTTAACAAAATATCGTTTTTAATCCAAATTTTGACAAAAAAAAGCATTAATATGATTCAAGAGCTTTTTTTAAATATCTGAAGCTGCAAAAGGGAAAATCACTTTAGACTATCTTTTTTTTTCACACTCCCAGAATGCACTTTCGAGAAATGCCTTTTGAAAAGAAACTTCCATCCGCTGATTAAAAGTTTTAATACAATTCAGAAGACGTTGAAGCATCATTTGTGTCTAAAATTGGAGTTTGGATTTTTTGGAAAAAAGAAACAATTGCGTTTTTGATAAGTTAAAAAGCTCGATTTTCTGATTAAAATTTTGAAGACTACGCTCACGTGTCACTTCAGCTGGTAAGACAAATTACACATTTTCGATTAAAATGAGGCGTGCCATAAGATATACTTAGACGCAAAATGAAAATAGTACTCCAAAAAAAAACTTTTTTTTTTCAATTAGACCTCGAGCATGCGTTTGGACATCCTTATACATCCTAACAGGTTTTATATTTCTTGCACTAAGACACTTTTTTCGTCCACGTTCTATTTTGGGAAACAAATTTTCATTCTTGTTCTTTGCATGTAACGAAGGCTTGACAGAGACCTTGACAGGAATAAGGTGCAAAACTGTCTTTCGTGGCTTAATATAGAAAAATGAAAATGTTTGCATATCAAAATTTAAAAAGTACTAATCATAGAACTTGCATTTATAAAAACTTTTAATTTTACACTTTCCATCTTTCCATTTATGAAACAAAAATAGTCGTTTACTGTGCAAATAGGACAGAATGTTCAGACAATAATCTTAACTGAAGTACAAAAAAAATCACACTAGTGTCTCATTTTCTGTGTAGTGTAGAAAAAAAGATCTGAACGAAAAAATATATGAAAGGCATATTCGAAGGTCATAGTTGAATAGGCTCAATGGAAAACAGTTTTTGAAGATACAGACTTTTTTTGAATTTCAGGAGTTTTTTTTTTAAGTTGTGAAATCTTTGATTGCCAAATAGCGCTAAAAACTCCAAGAAAAAAATTTGGTCGAGTAAAATTAAGTTTTCACTGCTTAAATAAAAAGTAAATAGGCTATTGTAAGCATACAAGCTGATCTTATTAGCTGAAAATTAGACTAAAAATCAGACTTTGTTGAAAACTTGTCGACTTTGTTGAACTTTGTATTAGCTAAAAATTAGACTTTGTTTGACACTGAGAACAATTTTTCAGATTTTTTCATTGTCGTTCAAATCACGACTGAAAGGGCTTTAATACGATTCAACCCAATCCGATGATTTTTTTGGCAATTGATTTTGCGTGAAAAGCTAAAAAAAATTACAAGCATCTTTCTATGTATGAAAATAGTATCAGTAGTTTTTTTGGTCAACCAGGATATACAAATTCTATCATGGAACATGTGAAATGAGAATTTTTCATCTAAGACTGAAACTTTCAAAAAAAATTTTACTTTTTTTTAACATAGTTGTTTGCTTTTCATCGTCATATGAAAGCAATGCGTTGTTCAAAAATTCGATTTTAATTTGCATGGAAAAATGTCTTCTATACAACTTTCATTTATGAAAACTTCATGATAAAACATTTTTCCCACGAGAAAGTCAAAATTGAGGAAAAAATTAGTTATAATTTCCGTTGCTAAATCAGTTTAGTCGCTAAATCGTTAAGTATTGAGCAAATGTATATGGAAACGCTAGTGTTTTGAATTAGAAAAACCATTATTAGTCAATAATTCTCTCTTAGCCCGTTTAAGCTGCTTAAGCAAACTTGTGAACCTGAATCGGGAGGATAGCATGTTGAAGAGGATGGGGTTGACGATGCTGTTGGCGGCGAACACGACGGAGGAGAGGGGGAGTGAGATGTCGAGGATGAGTCTCTCCCACCCCTCCACCCTCTGGCCGAGGGAGCACTCGGTGATGGATCTGAAGAGGGTGAGGAGTCTGAAGGGAGACATGAGGACGAAGAAGGACACCAGCAGAATCACAAACAGATTCACCATCTGAAACGACCCACAAACACTTCTCATTCTTAACAACACACACCAACTCACGTTTTCCAAATAAAGCAAAGGCCAACACATAAACTGGGTCACCTTATTGCAAATAACTTTGTTTGTCCTGTTTTTAAATAAGAACTGAATAAAATTGATCCGTTAGGGTTCCTGTGCTAGATTAGGTTATTTTAATTTCAAACAGCGACAATGCATCATCCGTATCTAGGTGTATACGTTTGTAAATTTTTCTAATGACAATCTATGAATTATGAATGGAAGGTGTTGCCTAATTTAAATCCACCACTCTGAATTCATTTCTGATTTCAACATGATCGGTGTCATGAGGCGACCTTCGGTACCTCATTATATTCTATTTACTTATGTATTGTCTTATCTAACTATATCTTAATTATTTACTTATAGTGCAGTAAATTGATTCAAGGACAAATCTCACCAGCTAATTCGTTTGTCACTTGAGATTCGGAAGCGGTCATTTGCGAAAGCCTTAAGTGTGAAGTCAAGTCATAAAACATTATACCTTAAAACTATACATTCAATTCTGGATTCGATAATCATTTATTCGTTACTTTATTCTATCTATATATCTATCATATCTAATTCAATATCTGAATTTTATAACATCTTTTTCCCTACTCAAACTGAGGGAAATCTCATGGCGCAGCCAGCAGTTCCTGTGAATGAAGACAGGACTGACCTACTCGGAATACCACCCTTTTGGGCAAGAACATCGGTTAACCCACCTTTCATTTGGGAAACTTGGGTGGGACAATTTTTTTTGGCGGTGAGTCTCAAAGACAACATCTCACCGGGGGAGTTACTAGTTGCCCCAGCAGAGTTAGTGGATGAACCTTACCCGAAGCCCGAAGCACCGAGTGCTGATGAAAATGCCGCAGAGGTTGCCAATAGGAACCTCCGAATTGCAGCAGCTAATAGAAGAATCGATGAGTACAATCAAGAGAGGAGAAGAAAAGGACCTCGCATTGGAAATAACTGGTGTTACCATGAGGCAGAGGCGCGTTTGAAATCGCGACTTTTCTTCGCTCTGGGAAATGAGGGGAAAAAACGATTTTTGGATTCATACCCTCATTTGGAACTCAATACTAGCTCGTTCATAGATTTTCATAAGTGTTGTGAGGATGTCTTCAAGGCAGAGCGTGATTACACAGTCGAAAGGATTAAGCTGTACAATACAATATTCATGCAGGATAATGACTCATTCTAATCATTCTACGCCCGACTTAGCGCTCAAACCGCGTTATGTAACTGGCCGATCGATCAGGAAAGAGCAACATTGAAAGATTTGTTCATTGGCCGCATTCGCGATGTGGAAGTTCAGAGGCAACTAATCAGAGCAAAAGCTAATCTTGATGATACTCTACAACTGGCTTTGGAAAACGAGAAAGGGGCTAAAACATCAGAACAATTTCAGAAATTGCTCCCGCATAACAATGCTACTTTCAGTTCTACAAACTCTATTCGAGTCAAACAGGAACCAACTTCGTCTTTACAACAATTTAAGAATCAAGGAAATAGCAGCCGGGGAGGTGGTGTATCTCGTCCTAACCAACGACAAAATCAAAATAAACCATGCTATTTTTGTGGCAACCCGTTTTCTTTGGAACATCGCCGGTCATGCCCGGCTAGAGAAGCTACTTGTAATGCCTGCAAAAAGAAGGGTCATTTTGCTAAGGTGTGTAACACTACGAGACGACGCGTTAACATGATACAAAATGGAGAGATGTCTACAGATCAAGAGTGTAATCTAATTGACGTAAATGGTGACAGCGAGCCAGAATATGGGATCATGGCAATAGATGTTGTGCAGATTAACAATGTGGAGCTTCTAAAGACAGCGGGAGGACAACCAAGGAGCCTCAGCATTCAGTTACGGTCCGGTAACTCTTTTTTCTATTCCACGGTGGACACTGGAAGTCCCGTATCCTTTTTAAACAAGAAAACGGCGGATATACTCATGAAGCGGATTCCCAACATTAAATTTAAGGACATCGCGAGACATCCTTTAGACGTTACTTATGTCGATTATAACAAGAAACCAATTAAACTGTTTGATTCTCTGGAAATCCCTATTGCATCGAAGGGATGGAAAATCGATAAGGCGTGTTTCTTGGTTTCCGAAAATCGTACTCGAAATTTACTTGGTTTGAACCTTCATGAGAAGTTAGGAATTGAAACGGTGCAACGCAGACCGGCAGAAGTTAGCTACGCCGAGGAAGAGGAGGAATCGGACCCGACCTCAAAATTCTGGAGGAACCATTTTGTCAACAGGTACCCTAATGTGTTCAGCAGACTGGGGAGGTCTAAAAACCATAAAGTATTCACAAATTTTAAAGATCCGTTGGTGCCCAGACAAGTTAAAGGCCGAATAGTCCCTATACATTTGCAAGATCGGGTCACGGCTGAGATCAAAAAGTTGATTAAAGACAAGCACATTGAAAAATTAGAAAAGTGTACAACGGATCATTTCATTGCACCCATAGTCCTAACAGCAAAGAAAGATGGGTCTATAAAACTCGCACTGAATGCTAAACCTATGAATGCCCAAATCTGGCAAAACAAATATCAAATGCCTAATATGCATAAATTGATTGACTCGGCGGCTCAAATTATAACTAAAGACACACCTGGGGAGGTGTGGTTTACTTCTCTTGACCTTAAATAAGCTTTCAGCCAATTGCCTTTATCGGAACTAACCAGTAGTCATTGTAACTTTAGTATTTTGTGCGGAGAGGCAACAGGCACATATCGATTCAAGACTGGTTTCTACGGACTGACGGACATGCCTACGGAATTTCAGAAAGCGATGGACTGTACGTTACAAGGATTGGAGGGTGTCATATGTTACCTTGATGATATACTGGTTGTCACTAAAGGAAGAGTTGAAGACCATAATGTACTAGTCGAAAGAGTCATGAGTCGATTGGATGAAGAAGGATGGGCGTTGAAACTTAGTAAATGTGAGTTTTCAGTTAATAAACTAGTCTGGTTAGGGTACGAAATCGATGAAAACGGTTACGCTCCGAAATTCTCAAAAATAGAGGCAATCAAATCCCTGTTGCCACCCAAAACTCTTAAACAGTTAAGATCGTTTATGGGTACACTCAATCATCTTCAACGTTTCATCCCGGAGTTGCACAAACACACAGTCGCATTTAGAGCTTCGCTAAAAGCGGAGAATAAGAAATCCTTTCTGTGGGGGGAAGAGCAAACTATTGCGTTTCAAAAGATCTTAAACCTTATCGCAAACATCCCTAATTTGTTTCACTACGATGCTTCGAAAGCTTCGCGTGTTAAATGCGATGCCAGTCATAGCGGGCTGGGGGCCTGTTTGGAACAAGAAGTCGAGCCAAATGTTTGGGCCCCGATTGCGTTTGCCTCTAGGTTTCTAAACTCCGCGGAAATCAAGTATAGTACCAATGAGTTAGAGCTTCTGGCTATTGTATGGTCGTGCGAACATTTCCGTACATATTTACTTGGTACACGATTTGTTATTCTAACCGATCATAAGGCCATCATTTCCGCCCTTAATGAAACGTATGGTAAAAAATCTTATCAGTCACGACTCTCTCGCTGAGCGGACCGCCTCATTCCGTTCGATTATCAAATTGAACATATACCCGGTTCCTCTCTAGGCATCGTCGATTATTTGTCTAGATACCCGACTTTTGAAGCACCGTTGCCATCGTCGCATGACGAATTATTTGTCATTAAATCTATTCAAGCTTTTCATAATGCTTTAAATTCGATTAGTACTCAGTCTAAACCTCAAATAGTGCCGGTGGGGCATATTTCACAGTATAACGAGTTCAGACCAATCAGATCGCTTGGTGAAACTGGAGGCAATATTAGCTACCTCTTAACTCATACAACGAACCAATCAACGTTTGATTCATCTGACCAATCATACTGTTGCAAACAATTCAGTTCGTCGCCTCACGAGGGCGTCGCAAACAGTACTCAATCTGTTAACCAATCCCAAAAGGATATGCAAATTAATCATCGTTACTTCTCGCCACTAGAGGGCGTCAGTTCATGCTCTCAGTCAACCAGCCAATCATATGCTCGTATGCAAAAACGTGAGTATTTAACACCGCCGCGAGAGGTCGACGTTTCATGCTCTTGTACTCTCGACCAATCACAGCACAGTATGCAAATGAGATACGCTAAACCAAAAGTTTTGGCTCAAACTCATTGTCTCCGACCTTACAACTTAGAAATCAGTTACGATATGGATACTTCAAATAATCTCGCTCAAAATACTACTCTTAACTCTACTCTAAATATCTCTACTAATACTGTTGACTCTGCAAATACTACGATCGAACAAACAAATCTCCTAAATTTTGTCGAAAACTTTTCTACAAGTTCCCCTAATTTTTGCACCTCCAGTCAAATAAGACCCAAGATATCTACAGTTCGCCATATGGATCGCCCGAGCCGTATTGATCAAATACGTTCCCGAAACATTGCCCGACAGAGACATTCTCGAGAACGTTTCGTGGTCACTCGAGGACAGAATACGCAAAAGGCCCTCACTCATTTCCTTGATAAGTGCCGGAGGCAGCGGCTGACAAAACGGGCCAGAGGAGGAGAGGTACTTCGAATGGGAGTTAATGCTATCAACAACCACAAACCGCTAGTTACTCAGGACAAGAAGAAGGTGGTCGGATTGCCAGGACTATTTGATGTGGATCTGTTGGGAGAGCTGACAGGGGAAGACCCGTTCCTCGGACCGATGAGGACTGCAATCATTAATAAGGATGTACAATCCTTTAACAAACTGGGGACATACATGGCCCAATTCTGGACAAAAGCGGCGGTAGTAAACAACTGTGTACTGATAGACAACAAACTAGCCATACCCGAACAGTTACGAAGTGCTATACTGATCCGACTTCATCGCTCGCACCCAGGCCAAGCGGCCATGATGGACGCCTCGGAGTATATTTGGTGGCCATTTCTTAACCGCCAAATTGTCAACGTCTGCGAAAAATGCCCGGAATGTACTCTATTTGGTAAGAACATCAAAACTTCTGCGACCTATAACTCAGCTAAGCCGTTACCAACTTTGTCAGCTCCAAATCAAGAATTGCAACTTGATTTTGCGGGTCCGTTAATAGATGATAAGAAGGGGAAAACCTACATTTTAGTCGCTATAGATCGTTTTTCTAAGTTTCCCTCGGTGATGTTAACTAAATCAACCAGTGCGAAAAAAATAGTCAAATTTTTGCGATCATATATTCGTACTCATGGCATACCAGAAAGCATTAGGACTGATCACGGATCTGGATTTCATTCTGACGTCGTTAAAGAATTTTGCAAAATGAGAGGTATTAAACACATCCTCACAGCGGTGGGGGATCATCGGAGTTGTGGGCTGGTGGAGAGATCGATCCAGACCATAAAACGGAAGTTAGGAACAGAAAATTTAGATCCTAATTTTACTAATCTGAAGTCTACTTTACAACAAATTATCGACGATATTCGAAAAACTAAGCATTCTACGTTGAAAGTATCTCCGTTTGAGTTACATTTTGGGAGGAAGCCTAATACTGAGTTTTCATTAGCACGTGATAATGTTGTTCATTCTCCTACTTCAGCGCAAGGACTTGAAAGGAACCTCCTAACTCCGGAGCAACGGTCAAGCCAGGATAACAGCCGCGATAGGGCTAAAGTGATACCCAGAGGATCGTCACACAGCCCAGAAATGCCCTTTAAGTTCAAGCCACTCTTTGGCGTGGGTGAGCGTATCGCGGATAGTTAACCGTATAAAGCCCTGGAGAACCTTGCAAAGGCAGCTAACACCTGGAAGCAGTGGAAACGGAATGTGCCCCCACAACAAGGCCAAAATCTTCTCCGTGAATTGGCGGCTCGTAATAGCGATCTCGCTAACTCGCTCAAGACAGGGATCACAAAGAGAACCCTACGCTTCTACGACAACGCCCGCGATACGTCAGCTCCAGCACTCTCGCATTCACAGAGAATGAACGTGTCGTCCTCTTCGAGGCCTAAAAGACTCTCAAAAACACGTAAATTAGAAAAATTAGTTTTACAAGATCCTCTAAGAGTCAAAATCTTTCGGAAAGTCCTTGATCGAAATTCGGGAAAGCCTCTGTTCAAATTAGCAAAAATCAAGATTACTCGCGTTACGGATCATACTTACATTACCGACAAAGGAAAAGTTTATCGGAAAAATCACATAAGCCTAAGACATAATTTTAATCACCCTAAGTTTTCAGCTACGCCTGGCACAGTGGGAGAACGCTTGCAACGACGAATTGCTCCTCGGCCTCAATCTCAACCAGCTACCACTTCAGCTACAAGGCAGTCAAATGAATCTCCGAAGGGTAAGGTGATTGACTTGACAGCAGAGTCGTCGAGCGAGGCCTCATTGATCACTGGCCCCCAGCTCGAATTAGTGGAGGCACCGGTTTCAACGCCTCAAGGATTGGCTCCTGTGATTGCTACTTCAACCACTCCGATTGTCGATCCTCCAATTCACCCTGACTTGACATCTACTACAGGGGCGGTAGCACCACCCCAGGATCTGCCACAGACTTCAGACAAGGTCCCTCAGACTGCGACAGAGGATTCAGCAAATACTGGCAATATGGAGGTTGACAATCCTACCTCTCAATCTTCGAGCGAGTTTCGATCATCTAGTCGGTCTAAGAAACCAACGAGGTTTTACGGAGATCCTCTTCGCCATTCAGTTAAGAGTGTAACTGAATATGACCCTGCGGAGCCTTCGTCACGACAACACAACGCTGATCAAACTACTACGCCACTCGCCAACCAAGTTACTACGCCATTCACCCCCATTGTTCGGAAAGTGCCGTTTCCTAGGACTAAGGAGCAAACTACTCCGTTTAAGAAAACAAGAACCGAAGAGCATGATAAACTTTAAAACTTTGTAAACTCTGCCATACTAGCCTATTGATTAGGTTATCACTTACCCATTCCGGTGCTTATTTTCTCTCTCATTATCCTGCCTGATTCCAAATTTATACAAAGATAAATTTTTTTCTAGAGGGGGAAGTGTCATGAGGCGACCTTCGGTACCTCATTACATTCTATTTACTTATGTATTGTCTTATCTAACTATATCTTAATTATTTACTTATAGTGCAGTAAATTGATTCAAGGACAAATCTCACCAGCTAATTCGTTTGTCACTTGAGACTCGGAAGCGGTCATTTGCGAAAGCCTTAAGTGTGAAGTCAAGTCATAAAACATTATACCTTAAAACTATACATTCAATTCTGGATTCGATAATCATTTATTCGTTACTTTATTCTATCTATATATCTATCATATCTAATTCAATATCTGAATTTTATAACATCTTTTTCCTTACTCAAACTGAGGGAAATCTCAATCGGAAAAGTTAGTCGATATTCTCAATGTAACGACCATGATCAATGTATCGACAGAATATCGACTACGCTCTGGTTGATATTTTCAATATTGAACTGTTTTTTTTAAAAAAAAAAGATTTCATCCTTTGATTGTTTGTTCACCTGCTTGAATTTTCGCAACCTTTGTATCTGGAAACAAGTGCCATTTTTTGCCTGTGAATATCCTCCTGTGCTGATAGTTTTCATACTGGAAGACGATGTTTTTGCATTTCGCTGTCTTCCACTGAAGCCTTCGGATCGTCTCACAGACGCCGACGCCGACGACTTTCGGTTGCAGTTTTCAAATGAATTTTCAGCATGTTTCTTATTCGGGTCGAGTTTCGAGCTCCCAAATTTGCTCTCCGATGGGATGTTTGATATCGGACCCCGATCTTTAAAGAGATATTTCTCCATCTCGGCGTTTAGTTTCTGGACTGCTCTCAGAATTTGGGAGTAGATGGTCAAAGTAGCCAACACAGGTGTGAAGTAGAATAGCACTACATTCACGTAGAACAACCACACAAACCGGTCTGTATCGTACGGGTTGGATGGATCTGAAATGATACTGTAACATAACGGATCGATCCGATTAATTGCTAGAAAGTTCCGACTCTATAAAATATATTAATTTTCGTTACATCGATAAAACTTTCAGGAAAAAAAAAGAAAAAAAGTTGAAACTTTTTATCTTGCTTTAAGAAAACATTCTTCAAACACTTTGTAAAGGTTAAAGAGATATATTTCGTAAAGTAACACATTATAGGGGGAAATTGCCTGTTTTCAATAAAACTTGGAATTACTTCTGAGTTGGATTGATTCGGCGCATTTGCTACCCGCTAATAGATAATTGAAAAAATTCGGGGCATTAATTACTCAAAATTAACCAAATCGGCATTTTTAAACCACTTGACTTTCTCAAAAAATCACAGGTAAAATATCTTTTTTAATTCAACCTCAAGGTTTTGATATCTTTAAGATGACGTCAAAAAGTCCAATTAAATGGCGAAATTTGTTTGAATGGTAAAAATTTTTTCCATCACATTCTCCAAAACAAGCCGGAAAAATATTGATTTAACAGCTAAGACAATTAAGATTGAAGGTATCCAAATATAGCATCCCAAGAAGGCATCCCAAGAAGGTATCCAAATATAGCATCCCAAGAAGGCTAAAAAATTGATTATACAGACGATTGAACCGACCACGTTGTGAGCCGTGTTGGCTGAAATATCAGAAAGTTGTAAGACGGCAAGTGATGAAGACTAGTCTCGATTAGACCCGCTGCACTTAATTCAGCTCGGGTATTCTGGCGACCGTTTACTAGTGCTATACTACATTGGCATGCTCGAAAAATTTTAAACCTTTTTTTTCGCTTTTTGCCCGTTGACCCGCACTGTTCCAGGTCATTCATGCGTTTATAATTGATTTTAAAGGTCGGACTCTATGAAAGTGACGGCTTGATTAAAAAAACACTAATTTAAATTATGTAATATTGCTGATATAACAGAAATCCGTTTTTATTTGACTATATTTGATGATTTACATGATAAGAGAGATTTTTGACTTTACTCAGATTCGGTCATTTTCTGCAAATTTAAAATTTTTTTGTGAATCAATTTGTATAGAGCGACAGCCTTTGCGGCAATGAACATAGACAAGTCAGCAACAACGTTACCAGTCTAAAGATTACTTGGCAGCAAGCAACTACCGTCTGAAAGCTTTTAATTTACGTGACATAAGACTGCAGAAGATCAACGTAACCCTCTGGAGTGGAAAAACTAGTTCGATTTTTTCAAACTGTGATAGGCAACAACCCACGACGATGCTTTGTTGAGAAAACTACTTACTTGCAGCCATTATGTACTGACAATGTAAAATCTTTGATAGAGAGCTATGATCCGGTAGTTCTCAGTACAAACAAGAAATACTTGAATTTTTGCGTAGAGACAGTAACGCAAAATAAGCGTTATCCGCGTTTATCAGGAAACTTGAAAAATGAATACTAAAAACGAAAAAAAACTGTACTAAGCGAACCGCAAGGTGTAAAAAAACAATGCATTTTTTCGGAAATTAATCCACAACTTCTAAGTCAACAGCTACAAAGCTGGTCTGAATTCTGGTAACCTAGCAGGACTTGCTCGCTCTAAACTCTCAGTAGAAAAACTAATAAAATAGGAAGAACACTGCGTGCTGTACCACTTCGAATACGAACACCCAAAAGCTTTACGCAATACTTGAACAACTACTCTCGCGAGCACGCAAGAATCTGGACATGGAAGCATTGATTTCAAACCAAGCTGCACGAAATCGTCTAAAGGCGAAGCAAGAACAACCCGACAACCGACCCAACCATTTTACTTATATGTCCCGGCAAAACTACGACAGACTGTCAGGTATATCAACAAGGACAAAAACTTTAAGATGTCAATAGATAACCGAGCGCACACTATAGAAAATTTTTTGGACTCTTTAGAACTTCCCGTAGATGAACGGGTCGATATGGTGAAACAAAATAAACTCTCATTCATCTGCTTAAGCCGACACAAATTTTGTGTGCGCATGGGCCAAGTGATGTTTCTTCAATAACTGTGGAGGGAAACACCACTCAACTCTACTTTTCGACAAAAAATCGTTTTATAAGCACAAACAAAATTCTAACAACATTCAGTTTGTCACTATAGTACCCAAGACATCAAAACCGGTAAGGATCGAGTCGAAAATACAAGCAAACTCAAAAACCAGTTGCATTTGATGCCAGTAACATTTTTCAACAATGGCATCAAACTGAACTGCTACGCAATACTCAACCATTGCAGCAGGTTTTAAAACATCCGTAGAAAACAGCTGACACTTTTCAGTCTACATCAAGCCAACAACTACATTTAAGCGCACGAGTCGCTCTCAGTAAAAACATAGTGTCCTCCTACCTGGTCAGGCCAAGTATTTGGAACACATAATGCTACAAAGCCTACCTTTAAGCTATAGTCAGCCTACTCAGATGAAGCTTTGAGTTTTGACTATATCGACGCAAACAGTTTTAACAGAGCGTGCTCACTCTACAATTATCTTCGTCATGTCAATTTTCCTGATCTACAGTACAAGTTTTGCCTGGCGGAGATGGCCTCTCAAATATAACAGAGCGTGATTTTAGGAAAAACTCCCGAGGCACACCCTACGATTTCAAAAACCTACTAGGTTGGACTGTCAATAGCCCGCTCAACAAGAAATCCAAAATATCCTTGTCATTTTCTTTTTAACTAGTTTCACTGACTTAACCGAACAAGAAGAAGCTTTTCTCAGTAAAATAAATGAAAAACTTCGGAAAGTGGAAGGATCGGGCATCCATGAAGACAACAAGGCTACATTATCTAGTAAGAGCAAAATACATCTATTTTTTATGAAACAAATATTTGAGCATAATGGAGATTGCTAAAAAAAATCTACACTGAAGAAACGAAATGAAAATGTCCAACAACTATCCGGTAGCGAAAGCCAAATTTCAATCACTGCGAATACGTCCAAACAAAACATCTTGAGTCCATGTCGCCTTATGAGAAATTGTTTTCCACTGACCTGAAAAAACCACGTCAAGTCTGTTACATTTCAAGAACCACTGTTGGAATTAATTTGGTATCTACCACACCAGTCGATGGGTAATCCAAACAAACCCGTGAATTCACGCAGAGTGGTCAAAGCTGCCTCGACAAACAAAATCGTCTGGTTGAACTCTTGCCTTGAAACTAGACCAGACCTAGTAAACAATAGGTTTGGCCTTCTAGTACGATTCCGGGATAACTTAGTAGCCGTATCGGCTGATACTGATGACATTTGTATGCAAGTAGGTAATAGAGAAGAGGAGAAAAATGGGCTTCGTTTTCTTTGGCCTAACAAAAAAAGTATACAGAAAATAAAAACCAATAACCCAGACAAACCTTTGGTGCAAAAGCTCTCCAGCCATTGCCATCTTTGCACTTCATCAAAGAGCTGCTGATGACTGCTTAATAAATATTTCTGAAAGCTTCAACAGGGACGATTTTGTCCACTCAATCGACAGGACAGACGAAAAGGAAGACTTTATCACACAGGTAAATTGGTTCCTATGGTAAAGCGCTTACAACCTAACCAAATTCGTATCTAACGCCCATGACGTCATCCCCTGCATTGATGGAGGTGGAATATCAACTGACGATAAAAAGCATTTGGTCTTAGGCATCAAAAGAGAAACAACTGATGATACGATATTCGTGCAAACGAAAGCCAAGGTAGATACCACTACAACAACTACACAACGGTCTGCTCTACAGTAGCCAGGGTTGTCGACGCACTAGGTATACAAGCGCCGCTTTTGATAGAACTTAAAACTCTACTGCAAAATCTTTGAAAGTATGGTATGTCCTGGTTCAAACCCATGCACGGTGACTTTGTTCCAATAATCTACAAATGGGTCGAGCAAAGCAAACAAGGACCTTCTGTGAGGCTACAGTGCTTACTTGGACTACAACTGTCACCATGTGACATACAGCTTCAAGTCTTCTGCGACATGTCGCAAGACTCCATGACTACGCGTATCTGCATCTGTACTGAACAATAGTACAAATGTATCTACGTGTATACGTGTAAAGTAGTCATGTCTACGTGTATCTACTTCCGTACTGAAAAAAAAACTACTTTCGGCAGAACAAAAGAAGCTCCATAGAACCCAGTAAGCAATCTGGAATTCGAATTAAAAGCCACCCCAATGGGTGCACGGATTTAAAATTTTGCTACTGATAAAATTTTGCTAGCGAATGTAACCCAAGTGACTATTGGACAGATGGCACAAAAACTTTGGCCTGGATAGCGTGGCTCGATAAATTGAAAACATACTGCGACACTAGAGTCGGCGAGATACTTACTTTATGCATAGCAGATCAATGGAAACACATTCCTGGTAAAATCAACCCTGCAGACAGTGCTACGCGGGGAATTGAACTCAAAAACCTAATCAAGCTCTGGTTGGATGCAGTATAATTTTCATTCAACAATGAGGCTACTTGGGGGATCAACGAGAAAATGGAACAAAGTAACGCTACAACAGTTAGCCCCAACTACGCAACTAATCCCTTTTTCCCTGTTTTCAGCCTGAATTTTATTAATTTGGGTCAATGTTTGCTTAACAGACCTAATTGATACCTTGATAGGGCACGGGAAACTTTCAGCTAATATGGAAGTCCTAGAAAAATTCAAGCTTCTCCTGAATGAATTTTCTCAACAAGAAACCTTTGTTGGCATCTACAATCATCTACGAACCAAGCAACAAGGTTTTGTAATCTTTGGGCTCCGAAAAGCACTCAGGCAGTTATGAATTATATGCTTTTTCTGCAGAAGTTTCCAAGCAGAGGGTTGACTCCTATTGTGGCTGACTTGCCGCCAGCTCGTTTTGACAATCCATTTGTTGATGCACTTTAGTTTAAAAACACCGGTTTTGATTACAAAGGGCCATTCTTCATTCCATCAAAAGATTCAATTAAAACAACTAATTTGCTTTTTCACAAGCCTCTCTACACGCGCGGAACCG